ATTTAGTGTATTCATTTGAAAAATTCAATAATGATTTAGTGAATAATAGTCGAACGTTCATTAGTCAACATGGTTTTGATCCAATTTTAATTCAACTATTTGAAAACATTTGTATTATTGACGGTTATGTTCGTTCAAGTATTCATCCATTAAACCAACAAATAGAACATTTGATTCAAAATCTTCAATTACATAATCAATCGGAAATTGAATTGTATTCAACAAATTTAATTGAAATTTATACTATTTGTCGATCAGTGAAAACATTGATTAAATTAAATAAGAAAAAATTCAATCATATTGAACAATTTTCAATAATTATTAATTTATTCTCTGAATTTTATAAAAATTTAAAGGTATTTAGATATTTTAATTGAGAGAAAAATAAAATATACTTTATCAAACTACTAGAGAATATTTAATCGAATAAAGCTGCGCATTTGCCAATATGTTCAACCTAAGAGAAAATTAATGCAAGGGTACAAATTGGAGAAAATATACAAACAGATATATGAGGTTTTCATTTAATCGATTGATTGTTTTTTTTTTATCAGATGAAATCTTTTTACCATATCTGAGATATTAAATACTTTCTTTTTTATATCTATAACACTTTTAATATAGATAATGCATACATTAATAAATACACTGTGATGGGGATATACGAATATATATCTTATACTGGAATTTAATTGAGTGTCAGAAGAAATTTATAGAAGATATCATTATGCTTATGAACCAAATATAAATTGACTTGAGATTTTAAAATAACTATGAAAATAATAGTATAAATGCAGCAAAAAGAAAATTGTTTACTTTAATTTTTTTGTTAAATATGTAAATCAAATATTTCGATCTTTTCAGATCTTATTTATCGGTCATCATCAGTCTATGATTTATTTAGGTAATTGGTTTATTAACACACTTATAATGATCATTAAATAAGATATGAAAAAGGTCGAAATGTTCGATTTACATATTTTAAAAATAATTTAACTAAACAATTTTCTTTTTGCTGCATTGATATTATTACTTTTACATCATATTAGAAGTATCCACCGTTTAAAAATTGGAAATTCAAGACATAGTACAATGAGGGTGACTTGAAATACTATGATACATAACCTTACTGAAGGAGTTACTAATACTGCTACATACCATTGTCCTGTAAGTACTTTAACCCTTTACCCCCACTTAGGCCACTGGAGTGACCATTTGTAGAACGACTGCAGAAAAGAAAGGGAGCATCGGATTAGAAAACGCTAAGCACTTTTTTTGTAGTAAACTTCATGGGCTATCCATTGGTAAAAAGACTGTTCCTTTTGATTGCTCCGTCTTTGAAATAAAGGGTCTCAAAAATCGAAAATTTTGAAAAAATGAAAAAAATTGAAATTTTTTAAGTAAAATACTTTCTACTCGCAGCCAATAGAGATCTCATGGAATTTCTATGTGGCATTAATTGATGAAGAAGTTCTTTGATAAATAAAATATATTTCAAAATTTTAATGATAACTCAGCGAATATGACATACAAAGAGATATGATTGACCATGTAGCCACCAATTGACCTATGGGGCGAAATCAAGAGCATAGTTAATACATATATTAGATACCTCGACTCATGAGAAGTCGAAACTCTATTTATGATGAATTCAATTTGATTAGAGGTTATTAAATGGCCAAGAATAAAATTGGCTTTAATTTGAAAAAACACCTAAAAAATGCATGTATTCTTTGGTATTCATTTTTATGGGTTTATTTCTCGTCTTTTTTCCGTTATTCTAATAGCGCGAGATAGATGTTCCTTCTGTCCACTCAATATTGTGGTCAAAGAATAAAAATCAACTCTTACGGTGTAGTTCAATTTTCTTTCCCCATCCCATGATTTCTGGATAAATCAAATCGTCCTACTCTTGGAGCAGAACATTCAATGGATCCGATTATGCCATTTGCATACTAGCGAGGGTAGTACTGTATTAATAAAGTTATTTTATCAGTGGCTATTCTGGAACCTCCATGGGGGGTAAAGGGTTAAACACTAATTTCCGCTTGACTTTCTAATATCTGGCTAGTGAGTATAATTCGTAATTTTTTTATTTAGATTCTATACAATAGATGGTTTGAGAATATTGAAAAAAACAACAACACATCTAATACATTATCATCTTCATTAATTCATCCAATTGAATCGGTATCATCCACGTCGACTCATTCGAATATACAAATTTCATCTGAATATCATAACAGGATAAATGTAGAACGATTGCAAATATCATCATCAGATATACGTCAGCCGATATCATTTACTCGAACACCAGAGGAGAATGAAGAAAAAAAATTTTATTTATTTCGACAAGTTAGTCAATATGAATATAAAATTAATTCTTGACAATTTTCTTCTCTATTTTATTTAGATATTAACTCGCTTAAATAATTTATTATGGTCACTTAGTAAACAAAACTTACCATCCTATTGTGAAATGATTGAATCAACGATCTCAGACATACAACTTCTACGATCAAATATAGATTTATACAATGATAGATCAATACGTAATGCAAGAAATCAGATTTTATCAATGAGATCTGAATATATGGAAAAATTTAGATATAGTTATTTGAAACAGCAGAATTATAAAATGAATCGACAAGTTAGAGAATCATATGCATCTTTGATGAAAACCATTAAACATGTATTGCGATCGCTTCATCGTTATTCATTACAAGTGGATAAATGTAATATATTCAAAGAATCAAATCGGTCGTCAACTAATTTATTTGCAATTGGATAAAAATAAAATTAACGTGAAAACTCAGGAAAATTTATTTGAAAAAGAAATCAGAACATTTTTTTATTAATAATAATGATAAAAAAAGTCAAGTGCATCATATTCATCAATTGAAGATCAAACATTCGCAAACGATTTCTGAAAAACATTTAAACAGAAACTGTATAGATTCATATGAAGTATGATATTGTTTTGGTTGTGTTGTTATTGCTCTTTTTTTTGTATAAAGAGAAAAAAGAATAAAAGTCAACTTACAGACAAAAACATATTATTTTTTGAATTTTTTTATACTGTATTTATTGAAATGGCACTTTTAAAAAATGATTCATCAGAAATTTTTGAAAGTCTTAGAGTAGAGGGATTCTATCTCAGCCACAATATGTTTTATAACCTTAAAAATTACTTTTTATCTCCTTTCGTTCGAATAAAAACATCAAATTGAGAGAGTAGTCTCAGCAATGTATGTCTTTTTCTAGTAAAACTACAAGAAAATTTTAGCTCGGACAGATGTATCATTGTGGGGAAATGGAACTGCTTCTCAAGCTTTTTGTTTTTGTTGAAAAATTCATTTTTGAAAAACGACGAATTGAAAATCTGAAGTAGTTTTGGTGAAACATGAAAGACAAATTAGAAATTGAATTTGATGAAAAACATTTTTGTTCGACGAAGATTGGTAGTCATGGCGTAGAATCTACCTAAAGAAATAACAAACGATGTATTAATATCTCTACCATTAGAGAGAAATTGATGTTCATTTTTTACATTACCACTGGTCCTGATAACTTCAAATTCAATTCACCAAAAAAAGAATGCTTACCAATATTTTCTGAAATTCAGTTAGCCTATTTAATGATCAATGTCAAAATAGTGTATTGCCATTCCTAGGGTATTTCTTTTTCTTACCCTATTTTACTCTATATTTTTTTCATTTCATTGTTGTTCTTGCTGTATTATCACTCTAGTTTTACTTTCTCAAGAACATAATGGAATAATGTATTGATAAGTTCTTTGCTATCGATAAGCTAGTTATATTTGTCTCTTATTATTAATTTTAAAATTTTTCATATAACTATACTTGGTTATTGTATAAGATTCTGAATGAAATTAATGTTACGCATACGTATATTTGACATGATAGGTGTGAGTATGCATGAAGAAAAAGCTAACATCCACACTCTCACCATTTTGACAAATTGTACTATTCATTTTTGTAGAACTTCAAAAGCTCTTTCTTATTTGTGTGTTCAACACTTTTCATAAGAATATGAGACGGCATTAAATAAGGATCAACGAAATATCATTTATTTCAAATAAAAAAAAATAGTTTTTTAATTTGACAAAAAGTAGCGAAAATAACACTTTTTTTATACAATAAAGTTTTATTATAAACATTTTTGAAAACACAAATAAGATAGAGATTTTGAAATTTGTCTATAAAGTTCGACATGAGAATACAAATACAGGATAAGTATATTTTGTGTTTCGAAGTTTTGATGTTGTATGTACACAGTATCATTTCACTGGCTTCTATATCTATGATATTCATTTCTCATGTTCACAATATAATAATAATAAAGCTTTTGCTGTGTTTTTCACGAAACACAATTGTGTATGATTTTTGTCGAGAGAGAAAAAAGTTCCAGTTCAATGGGGTATACTAGGCGAGCGAAACAATAGCGTTTCTGCATATATATTTTTGTCTTTTTCTTCAAGAAAAACATTGTTTAATGCACAGTTTTCGTTAGGTAAATTTGATTTATTTTCGAATTTTTTCAACATTTAAAATAAAATTTTTCGATCTTAAAATGTACTCCGTCGATAGATAATACGTCAAACTATACAACGATCACAAAAAATTTACAACATTTTTCTTCTGTATTTTCTGCTTGAATAGGATTAACTTTAACATGTTTAAAAAAATAAGTAACAAATTAGTTGAAACTAATTATAAATCTATCGAAGAAAATCGAAATAATCTTATTTCACTTTATGCCGATTAGTATCGAATACTAATTTCATTGTTTTTTTACCATTGAATATGATATTAGTTTTGGAATAACATCATAAACTATGCTAATGACTTCTAATTTTTTTGATTTAGCAATTTGATGTTGATGTTAAAAGTAATTTTAGTAAGACAATCTAAATAAGAAAATTACTGACAAGAAATAGTGGGATTTGTGAGAAAGCTGTTCGGTATAATCATTCAGTAGTAGTATCATGTTGTCTACCAATTAATTAGTTTCTTTCTAAAAAAAACTATGCACATCATTTTCATTGTATGGTACTCTAAGTTTCAGTGACCATCAGAAAAAACTTCTATGTAGGCGATTGATGAGCGAATGTTTTGAACTGTCCAATGACTTTTCTCTTGAGACTACTGCCATTTGATCGGCTATGATCAGTGGCGACAAATTCTCTTTTGATTTGATTGTCTGGTCTGCATTTGTTGAGTTCTGTCTATTTTATTCGATTTTTTGCCTTATGAGCACAGAATCACTATGAAGCTGAATGATTGAGTTTTGAGCTGAACTTTTGCTCATAAATATGTCTTATAATCACTAGAAATATCGCAAAATGTTAACTAAGACAAATGTGCCATATCAACTTACTATAATCGCTTTTCTCTTTTGAAAGATCTTTTTATGAATAAAATTTCAGCTCAAAATTCAGTTATTCAGCTTCGTAGCGAATCTATACTCATAGAGCAATAATCGAGTAAAATATTCATAATTCAACAAATAAAGACTGAGCAAATAAACCAAAACAGACTTTTCCATCGCTTATTATAACTAATTAAATGACAGTAGTTTACAGCACGAAAAAATTGGGCAGTTGAAAATGTTTCCTTGCCAGTCCTATCTAAAGCTGAAAAAGGACATACTTTTCCAATGTTAATAATAGATTATCGCAAGCTTAGACTGAGCTCACGACTCTTTTCAGAGGACTTGATCATTCTCATCACAAATTGATAGTTTCTTTGTGATTCAGCTTCATTTAAGATCTATTAGTCCTTCAGCGACTTGACTCGTAATATTCATTATCATGAAGAAATATTTTTCTTTCTATCTTTGGCGGTGAATATGTAATGCATATAAATACTAGAAAAATAAAACTATAAAAAAGAATTTTTCAGGGAGTGGATGTGGGTGAGTACGGGTTTTGGTATGGTTGCGGATGTGGATATGAATATGAATATTGGTTTTCTTCCACAGCCACTGTCACACCCATGCCCACACCCTAATAGACTTCTAATTATTCATGTTCCGAACGGGAAATTATTGAAAGTGCGGTGTAATTGGGTCTGGGTGAAATGAAGAACCACACTCACATCTACACCTCACACCCACACCCCCCGATCATCAACATTATAGATTATGCTTGTTACAAAAAGAATTCGCATAGGTAGTAACAGACTGAATATCATTCAGGTTCGTTTAATTCGTGTTAGTCAAAAGAGAAGTACCCAGTCTGTACAAAAAGATATAGAGAAGCAAGAAAAAGCGATCTGTACAGGGGAAAACGGATCGATCATCATAACTATAGTATGTATAAGAGCTAGGATCTTATATAAGTTTTTCAGTCGTGGTTTCAAATAAGACAAGAAAAGAATATTAAGAAAAAAACAGATTCAATAGAGAACAAAATCGAGATACAACGGTCGACCTAAAACGAGACCGACGATACGGAAGATTCAAGATATAATAAGCTTGGTAACAAATAGAATAAGGTGCGTCTTGAGAGCAATACCGTCAGAAAAGCCTACAGGACGCTGAAGGGCAAGGCACTTCAATCGATACCAAACATAGTCTCGTCGTGGTAGCCATTCGCTCATCCGCAACGAGTGTTGTAACTAAATCATGGCACAGCAATAAATGAAATTAGAAATTTTTACCACGTAAACCAAAAACTTACTTGCATCTCAATCCAGACGTGGACAGTGACAAACGGTTGTTCATCAATCAGATAATTCAACTGACATGATGTATAATCGTAAATGATACACTGGACAAAAATTTGAATCCATCAATAAAATGCACTATATCCCTTTTTGGACTGATGGATGAAACAGTTAAATGTTCCACATTTGGGAAAATTCGCATCAATCTTCGATTGTGTAGTCTGTGTCTTCAGTCGAGAGCTGAATTCGTAGTGTGCGAATTTGTTCGATTCGAAAATTTCGAAATTTATCAGCCATATCCATGTCAATCTGTTGCTGAATAGACAATTGATGAAGATAAGGCATTTCAGGAAAGTGCAATTTTAACTGGCGTACATCTTCTAATGACAGCAAAGTTATTGCTTTTATTTGAGACATATCGATCCTTGTCATAATTATCATAAAATCCCGAAACAAAATAAAATCCATTATTCAATGCAGCATCGAAAGATGTCATAGTGAGATTGATTTTTGTCACTTGTTTATAGAACATTCTTCGGTTTAACGTTGTCCAAGGAACTTGTTCTTCAAGTTCATTGAAGTTAACTTTCACGGGAGCAAAGTAAGGTATTGTGAACAGGTAAAATTTCTCGTAAGCCACATACCGCCGTCTCTCAACACTCCAACATGAAGTATGAAAAGTTTGGAGAATCTTCTTGGTCAGTGTCTCGACAATTTTCAACTTGAAGTGTAACACAGTAAGGTTGCTGGTCACAATTAGCCAATGTTTGCCATCAACTAAATCACTGTGGCCAGCTGCATATAATTCCAGATGTGTTAGATGAACTAGATTCAGCAATAGTTGTTCAACTTGATTCATTGAAACTTGCGAATCTCGGAATTATCGATGCAAATAAGACACTGATTATTCACATCATATTTCAACTTTTATTTTCATGAATATAAATTTATTTACTCTAAATTTGCAGAGTAAGTCGTTTCAGTGCCAAGTGAGATGATAATAAAAAGTATTCACTCTGTGACGCATTATCTTTAATGAAAATGTTGAGCGAATGTAGGTTGGGTGTTTGAAAAAGAATCATTTGAAATGCATCAATGGTTG